TGTCACGGGCATTCGTACGGGCTTAGGGATGTCAGTCCCTAAGCCCTGACAGAAAAATCAGGCGGCGTCAATATTCTTACGCAAAGGGTTTGGGGCTGCCGGTTCAGAAACGAAAGCCCCAAAGCCGTCAGGGTTCTTCGGGTTTAAGAGTTTTAATTAGGGTTTAGGGTTGAGGGTTTAGGTTTGTGGGCTCTAAACCCTAAACCCTAAACCCTAAACCCCTAAACCATAAAACCAAACACCGTAAACCCTAAACTGTCGGTCTTGTGGTTTGCGGCTTGGCTTCCTACGTTTACGGCATGCGCAGGTCAGTGCCCCTGCATTCCAAACCTCGGAACCCCAAAGCCTCGAACAGCAAGCCTAAACCCTAAACCCTAAACCCTAAACCCTAAACCCTAAACCCCAAAGCCTCGAACAGCAAGCATCCCAAGATTTCAGGTTTGATTAGGGCTTTCGGGTACCCGAAGCCCTAAACCCTAAACCTTAAACTTAAACCCTAGCCCTAAACCCTAAACCCTAAACCCTAAACCCTAAACCCTAAACCCTAAACCCTAAACCCTAAACCCTAAACCCTAAACCCTAAACCCTAAACCCTGAACCCTGAACCCTAAACCCTGAACCCTAACCCTAAACCCTACCTAACCCTAAACCCTAAACCCGAAACCCTAAACCCTAAACCCTAAACCGGAGTCAGGGTTCCCCAGGGCTGAGGCTACGACCAGGCTACGGCCCGGAGTTGGAAAGTCTCGAAGAAGAGGGCTCCGGTTGGGACCTCGGAAGGGGGGTTTAGGGTTTAGGGTTTAGGGTTTAGGGTTTAGGGTTTAGGGATGGGCTCTTCATGGCGGCGGGGAAGGTCAGCCTTGTGTTTTCTTGTTGGAGAGGGGGGGGGGGGGAGTAGCAAGATACACACGCACAAATAAAAGACATGAATAAACATGAATAGAAGAAATACATGTGCATATACATCTACATTTTCGGCACACGTCTCCAACAGTACCCGTGTTTATAAACAAATATAGAATGAACACACACACACATGCGTATATATTATGTTTGTGTGTGTACGAGAAAGAGAGATATATATACATATACATAATATATATATATATATATATATATATATTGTGTGTGCCCGGCAAATGTTGTCTCGAAGGTTTCATTTCGGGTCTGCATGGGGTCCAGGGCTGTATAGGGCTTCGGGTTTGGGGTTTATAGGGTTTAGGGTTTAGGGTTTTAGGTTTTAGGGTTTAGGGTTTGGGGTTTAGGGTTTAGGGCTTGCGTCGCTTGCTGCACCCAGGTGTTTTGCTTGCACCGGTGGAAGCTGAAACTTGAATTTCACCGTGGCCGTAACCCTTACAAACCCATACCCAACCTTGCTAAGCCTTGCTAGCCCAAAAAGCACAGTAGAACAAGGGCTAGACCCAAGTGTAACCTAGGAATAAAAGGGTGCCCTGCTTGGGTTGAAGGGGCTTAAAAAGGGAATCTAAACCCTTCAAAGAGGGAATGAGGGCCCACCCGGGTCCTAGATGTTATTATGAAGGTACCCTTTTTGGGGTTGCTTTTTGAAAAGGTTTAGGGTTTAGGGTTTAGGGTGTAGGCAACCTACTAGCTCCAAACTCCAATACCTAGGACTGAATGTCCAGGGCTCAACGCGTGGTAGGTTCAGGGTTTGTTTAGGGTGTAGGCTGTGGGGTTTTAGGGTTCGTAAAAGCCGAAATCCCAGTATACCATAACTCCCCTATATGCAGCAGATCTGACTGCCGAAGTTCGCCCCCTCCCCCAGCCTCCCCCCATTCAAAAGGCCCCGGCAATGACAGTTCCAAGGAAAACCCATGTGGCGTTGGCAGTTCCTTGCAGGACAGCTGAAGACAAGGTCCACCAAAAACGCCTTAATCCCTAAACCCTAAACCCCCAACCCAAAATCGCCTTGAGGATTGCAAGCATGGGGCGCAATTACACTGCATGATGGGGGTTTGGCGTTTGGAGGCTTGGGCGGTGCATGGGGTTTCGGGTTTAGGGTTTAGGGCTTAGGGCCTAGGGCTTAGGGCCCAGGGCTTAGGGCTTAGGGTTTTGGAACGCCCTGAGAGAGGGTTCGGGGTATCGGGATTCAGGAAAGGCTGAACGTTGGCGGAATGAAGCTCTCGACTGGCCGCTTCCGAAAAAAACACGTGTCCCCTGGAATTTTGCATGACCTTAAACCCTAAACCCTAAACCCTAAACCAAGATCCTAAACCCAGCCTACCCCAAAGTATTGTTAAAAAGCACCTTGGAGGTTTAGGGCCGCAGTCTTTGGGGTACTTGGGAACCCAAACCTCTAAGCCTAAACCCTAAACCCTAAACCCTAAACCCCAAACCCTAAACTCTAAACCCTAAACCCTAAGCCCCTGCCTGTGAGAACACCTCGCAGGTGCAGGATCACCAGGAACAGGGCCAGGGCCTTCCGAGACAAGAAGGAGAGAGATGAGGGATCAGGTTTAGGGTTTAGGGTTTAGGATTTAGGGTTGAGGGTTGAGGGGTTTAGGGGTCGGGGATTTAGGGTATCAAGTTCAGGGGTTTAGGGGATTAGGGTTTAGGATTTGGTAAGGTTGGTTAGGTTAGGGTTAGGGGGTTAGGGGGTTGGGGTTAAACCCCAAACTCTAAACCCTAAACCCTAGGGTTTCTGGTTTGGGGGTTTAGGGTATTTAGGGTTTCGGGTTTAGGGTCTGGGGTTGGCAGGCTGCAGGTCTTCGTGTTAACGTGTTGGTTCAGGGTTTGCATCAAGTAGTTCCAAACGAGATCCTTCAAGGGCTTAGGTTTTTAGGGCACTTCAAGAAATTATGACTGTGCTGATGGTTGGGGGTATGGGGTCTGTGGGTCGAGGTTTAGGGGTTAGAGTTTGAGGGTTTGTTCTACATGCCCCAAAAACTTCTTAGAGGTCCCATATTTCGGGCCTCCCAAAACATACCCCCTCAATACTAGAATCGCCAGGATAGGAAAACCCCGGAAGGGTACCCCAAATTCTGGGAAAAACATGAGGGGGTATTGGACTCTCTGGGAATGACCTGAAACAACCATGACGCGAGTGGAGAGGAAGGGCGAAGATTACTATTAAAAAATAGGAGCTTCTACTCAGAATTTAATTACCAATGGGGCCCTTTTATAATATAAGGGGCTCCCTCACTGCAGTTTGTTTTCCTAGTTCCTACTGTACTCCTGGGTCTTTTGGCAACCCCAAAACCCGAAACCTTAAACCGCAATACAAGCCCGCAAGTCCAGCCAGTCATGTCGGGGCGGACCGTCAGGTACAGCTCGGCGAGGCGGGTGTCAGCAATCCACTGCCTTCTTGTTAGGGTTTAGGGTTTAGGGCTTAGGATTAGGGCTTAGGGTTTAAGGTTTAGGGGTTGGGGTTTGGGGCTCAGACTTCACAATTCTTGCCAGGCTGGGCACAGGACTCTCTGAGTGAAAAAGCTGAGTTCTGACACACACACACACACACAAGCCTGGCAGGCTAAGAATAAGCACAGGCGGGTCTTCTAAGTCTTTGAGGGCTGAGAGGTCTGAACACGGGCTTAGGGTTCAGGATATAGGTTCAAAACCCCCCTAGACCTTAAACCCGAAACCCTAAACCCTAAACCGTAAACCGGCCCTGCCCATCCTAAGACCAAGCGAGACTTTGTGGGTTGAATTTGTCAAGGGTTTGTTGGGGTTTCGGACTCTGGGGTTTACAGGTACTTACAGTTTAGGGATTTGGCTTCTAAGTCAGGGTTTCAAGGTTTTAGGAAGCCAGAACCCTAAACCTTAAACCCTAAATCTTAAACCCTAAACCTTACAAACAATAAACCTTAAACCCTAAACCCACCCTAAACCCCCTAAGCCCTGTTCTTGAGGTTTGGGCTGAGGGTATAAGGAGGGAGCCCTAGAAGTGGACCCCTAATCTTATTCCCCGATATAGCCCCTATATATATATATATATATCTACACACCTTATACTAGGACAGCTCTGCGATGTTCGGGTTCGCGCGCGAAACCCCTAACCCAAAGCGTTAAGGCTGGTCTAGGGGGTTTAGGGGGGAAAGGGGGTTTAGGTTTTTTTTTTCGGAGGTTTAGTGGGTTTAGGGGGTCTACACCCGAAGCCGTGAACCATAAACCTTAAGCCCTGAACCCCCTATACCCCTCTATACCCCCTAGACCCCCTAAACCGCGAACAAACCAAGGACTTGGCCACTGGTCAGGGTAGATCTTCTGCACGGTGTCGTACCAGCCAGGGTCCTGGCAGTTTAGCACAGAAGCAGTTCTAAAAAAATTCCCGCAAACCCTAAACCAACCCTTAGAAGCACCAAATCCTAGGGGCGACACTAACACCGAACGCTGTGCACATTAGTATGGGGTCGGGTGAATTAGTATTCCCTTATGGCCCCTCTAAAAGAAAAAACTTCCCTCCCCCAAATTCTATTCGAATCATTAAGGCCCCCTATATTCTATGTGGACCATAAACCCTGCAGTGAGGATTTAGGGCTTGGGGTTTGGGGGCCTTTAGGAGGGTTTAGGGTTTAGGGTTTAGGGTTTAGGGTTTAGGGTTTAGGGTTTAGGGTTTAGGGTTTAGGGTTTAGGGTTTAGGGTTGGGCTCGGACTTCATATGTGGCATGTATGGTCAAGGATGTCGCCGACAATCACCCCGCGTGTCCAAAGCACCTTGTCATCTTCATCCGAAGAACGCTCCGCCGAGATGCTGTCGAAGATTGAAATCTCCTTTCTCGCGGACCCTCAACCCCAAACCCGAACCTTTTCGCCTGTCTTCGCGGCACGAAGTGGAGGTCCTTGCAGTCGCTCCAGATGGTGATAGTCCCCGACTCTGGCTGCTCCCAGAGACGATTCAACATAGATTTCTGAATTTGGGGTTTAGGGTTTAGGGTTTAGGTTTAGGGTTTAGGGTTTAGGACTTAGGGCTGGGCTTAGGGCTTAATTAGGATGGGGTTATCATTATAAGGGAGTCCTACTATGTGGAGGACTATATTTATTCGTAGGCCCCCATACAGGTTGCTGAAGTTCGTGAGTCAAGGTGTAGGGTTCGGGGTTCAGGGCTTTGGGGCTCGAGGGGTTGGAGGGTTTTGGAGGCTTTTGGGGCTTAGGGTAGTTTAGGCGTCAGGAAATTTATGCTTCAAAAGGGACCCTAAACCCTAAAACCTGTAGAGCCCTCAAGACGTTTGAGCGTGAGCGCGCAGGGTCCTGACGTTGAGGCTTTAAGTTGCTCCTTCAGCCCTCCAACAAGCGTTCAGGGGTTAAGGTTCAAGGGTGTAGCCCTAAACCCTAAACCCTAAACCCTAAACCCCAAACCCTAAACCCTAAACCCTAAACCCTAAACCCTAACCCCTAAACCCTAAACCCTAAACCCTAAACCCTAAACCCTAAACCCTAAGCCCTAAACTAGGCGGTCGTCCTCCATCATCTTCCAGATGTGGCCCACCTTCACTGTCGGCTCTAGAGGTAGGCATCCTACGCAGGGAGCCCCAAACCCTAAACCCTAAACCCTGGCCCTAAACCCTAAACCCTAAACCCTAAACCCTAAACCCTAAACCCTAAACCCTAAACCCTGAATGGGGCTCATCCCTGCTGGCTTCTAACTCAGGAAAGCCCAGAGTCTCAGAAGACTTCGGAGCCGAAGTCAAGGGTTAAGGGTTAAGGGTTAAGGGTTTAGGGTTTAGGGTTTAGGGTTTGGGGTTCAGGGTTTAGGGTTTAGGGTAAAACCTTGAACCCTAAACCCTTTAAACCCTCAGCATCCGAACTGAACTTCTTACGCCCCCCCTGTAGCCAGAAATTGGGCAGTCGACCCAGCTCCTGGGGCTTCATACGGTAGGTTCTCTGGGGCTTTTCGGGTTTTAGGGTTTAGGGATTAGGGGTTAAGGTTCAGGGTTTGCCCTGCAATTGAAAAAAAACACCCAGAACCCCCAAAACTCTAAAGCCTCAAACCCTGCAAAACCTAAACTTGGGATGTTCCCCCTTGCATTCACAGTCCTTAATCGGGATTATAGTAGGGGGTAACTGTAATCCGGGGGAACATGTCAACCCTAAACCCTAAACACCCCAAAAGCCCCTAAAACCCAACCCAAAAACCCTAAACCCTAAACCCTAAACCCCTAAACCCTTAAACCCTAAACCCTAAACCCTAAACCCTAAAAAGCCGAGCAGCCCCAACAACCCCCAAAAAACCCGCACCAGTGTGCAGGGCACCCTGAAGCCTAAACCCTAAACCCTAATCCCTAAGCCCTAAGCCCTAAACCCTAAACCCTAAACCCTAAACCCTAAACCCCAACTGTTCGCTGGGCGCCCCGGACAGTGAGGCCATGGACAAAGGTGAGGCTCGCCAAGCCCAGGGCAAAGTAGGGGCGGAAGCGGCCCTCCTCGTAGCGAATGGGGTTTTGGGATTTAGGGTTTTGGGTTTTGGATTTCGGGTTTTAGGGTTTAGGGTGTGGGGTTTGGGTTTTAGGGTTTAGGGTTTTGGGTTTTGGGGTTTAGGGTGAAACTTACTGGTTCTTAGTAGGGAATGAGGGAACTAGGGTCCTCATACTCCCCCCCCCCCTATATGTTCCCCCGCAGGGATCCCTAAACCCTAAACCCTAAACCCTGAACTCCCTACTTAATCCCCTTCTTCCCGAACTACTAAGAACAAGTAAGGAAAGGGGTGTGGGAGGCTAGGGTTAGCTGTGGGGCTTTGGCTTTAGGGGTTTTAGGGTTTAGGGCTAGGGTTTAGGGTTTAGGGTTTAGGGTTTAGGGTTTAGGGTTTAGGGTTTAGGGTTTAGGGTTTAGGGTTTAGGGTTTCAGGGTTTTGGGGTTTAGGGCTTAAGGTTTAGGGCTTAGGGTTTAGGGCTTAGGGTTTAGCATTGGGGGACTCCGGAGGCTTAGGGTTTAGGGTTTAGGGTTGTAGGGTTTAGGGTTTGGGGTTTAGGCTTTAGGGTTAGGGTTTAGGGTTTAGGGTTCAGGGTTTGGGGCTTTGCTGTCTTAGGTTTTGGGGTGTTGGGCTTAGGCAGCCCCCAAAACCCCCGAAGCACATCTTGCCTGGAGGTGCCTGAACATGCGTCCCCAGTGATAGCCTCGGCGCTCCGCAGGTGTTTTCCGAGTGTTTCCTGAGGGTGTTTAGGGTCCTTTAGGAGTTGTTAGGGCATTGTAGGTTGTTTTTTTCTTTTTTTTTTTTTCTCGATTTGGGTGGTTTAGTCTTTTAAGGGCTTATCGTTTTTTAGGGCTTATCTTTTTTTTTTTGTTCGGGCTTGTCGGGTTTATATGGCTGATAGGGTTTATTGCTTAAAGTTCAGGGCTTAAAGGGTTTATCGGGTGTATCAGCTGGTCAGGTTTATAGGGATTACGTAGCGGGTTTGTAGGGTGTATCGGGTTTGGAGTTGTAGAAACTGAGGGAATTATGGACCCCATAAACCGAAATAACCCAACAAACCCTACATGAACCAATAACCCTAAAATACACTTACCTAAGTTACCCTAAACCCTAAACCCTGAACCCTAAACCCTAAACCCTGAACCCTGAACCCTAAACCCTAACAGCTTCAAGGGCCCGGTGGCTGTAGAAGTAGGCGCAGCTCGCCAGGAACACCACTGCGCCCACCGTGTGGAGGGACTCCCCACTGCCTTGCCAGAGTTTGGGTTTAGGGTTTAGGGTTTAGGGTTTAGGGTTTAGGGTTTAGGGTTTAGGGTTTAGGGTTTAGGGTTTAGGATTTAGGGTTTAGGGTTTAGGGTTTAGGGTTTAGGGTTTAGGGTTTAGGGTGTAGGGTGTAGGGTGTAGGGTTTAGGGTTCACGGGCTTGAGGGTGTATAGGGGCTGAGGAGTTTAGGGGCTTAGCTTGCTGGCTTTCGGCTTTCAGGGTTTGCGGGTTTACAGCTTGAGTTTTGGGTTTGGGGTTAGGGTTTACGTGGTGGGCTGAGGGTTTCAAGGGTTCTGGGGCTTAGGGAGTTCACAGGTTAAGGGTTCAGGGCCAAAGCGTGTCACCAGAGAAAGACAAAGAACCCTTTATGCCACAATGGGCTTTCTTAAACCCTAAACCAAGGTTGGTGCGACTGCAGGACAGAACGCGACCAAATCTGCGAGAAGGAGACTTGACCACGAAGCCTCTCTCGGTTTAGGGTTTGGGGTTTCTCTCCCTTTGTTCCCATTCGGTTGCAGCTGGTGATCTCTAAGTCATGTCATCCGGGTCCATAACGATGCAGAACACAGTGCAATGTCTGCTTTGAATGGCCGCCCAGCGGTTTAGACGGAGCAGGAAAAGACCTCAAGCGTGTGAGCTGCTCTCGGTGGAAGTCCTGTGCACGAACACCAGCAGGAGCTCTTTGGGGGATACTGATTGTCCGATCCGACACCTAGCTGCGGTGCGATGTTGGGCCAGCGACCAAGTCATCCAAATCTGCAAAATCGGGAAGCTGCGAAATTTGAATTTGCCCCTTTCGTAGCACGATCCGATCAGTCTGGGGTCGGGCCAATAGCTCCTTGGTAGCTCAGTAGTGGTTGCTTGCTCTGAACCCTGAAAAAAAAGCCCTAAACCCAAAACCCTAAGTTATAGGAGAACCCAAGAACCAATTAAACGGGCAACTACCAAGCTTCGGATATCCGCCGCGCACTGGGGAAGAGAATCCCATCGGCCGACCGACCTGCTTGGAAACCTCGGCTGCCCTAGTAGCCCAAAACCCTAAACCCAGTCGTTTAGGACCTAGAGTTTAGGGCTTGGGGGTTTAGGGTTTAGGGTTTAGGGTTTAGGGTTTAGGGTTTAGGGTTTAGGGTTTGGGGTTTGGGGTTTAGGGTTGGGGAAGAATGCAAACGGCGTGTGGTGCCTCTTTCTGGTTTCATGGGGGCAAAGGGAACCGAGCCCTACAATTTTGCTACTCCAGAGCCCTGCATCATGGCTACTCTAGGCCCCAAACCCTAAACCCTAAACCCCAAACCCTAAACCCCAAACCCCAAACCCCAAACCCTAAACCCTAAACCCCGAACCCAACAAGGAATCAGCGTTGCTACTGGGCATCCTCGACACACGAGGAGTTCTGCGATGGAAGCAAGCCCATGGCTCTTGCCGGAGAGTCGTTCACCATGTGAGCCCAGGCCCCGGCGGATGGAGCCGTATCCTTGGTAGCCCTAAACCCTAAACCCTAAACCCTAAACCCTAAACCCTAAACCCTAAACCCTACACCCTAACCAGACTGATAAGAGTGCCCCTTTTGGGGGGGTGGCTACTTTATAAGGGAAACTTAAAACCGAGACCCCAACAAACATGCGCACAAAAGTGTGTACAGTAAAAGGGTACCCCTGTGCTGCCAAGTATCTAGATGCCCGAGCAGCAAGCTTTGAGTCCAGACCGTCAACAGGTCAAAGTCCCCGTAGGGGTGCCAGTGATCCCGGACGTTGTCAGAAGCAACCGACACGGAGGCCACACCAGCGGCATCTAACTCCTAGGGTTTAGGGTTTAGGGTTTAGGGTTTAGGGTTTAGGGCCTTAGACCCTGCGGAAGCTATTTCTAAATGTGGTCCTCTTAAGCCCAAGTACAGGAGAAAAGAGCAAACATATCCCAAAGGCCTACCCAGATTCTTGTATCAGGGTCAATCCACGCCATTGAGGCGTCCGCGGCACCGCTGCTGGGATATCGAGGCCGAAGGGGAGACATGAGCCTCGCCGATCTTGTAATCCCACATTGGTGAAAGGATTGGCGATAATATGTACGTCTTGAAGTTGGGCAAGCTGTTGACAGATATACACTTGCCTCTCCTCACTTTGCAATGACAAAGAACAACAGTGACCTAGCACGACCTTGCCTTTGTAGCCGAGTTCACGACGAGCATACTGCAAAGCATCAATCAGGCACAAGAGTACGCAGCAGGATGGATCATTGGCTTCATCAATGTGAAAGTCAACTTCCATACCCAAACGGTTCGCATGCCGGAACAAAGCTTTCATGGCCTCGCATGTCTGCGGTCGTTCTTCGCTGGATGGATTTCCCGTATACGATCCCAAAACAACCCCCGAATGCGTGGCCGCTTGATTGGCGAAATCGGTGGCCAGAGGTTCCTGCAACCACAAGGGCAGGAACAGATTGGCAACTCCTTGCAATGTAATCTCGTTGGCGTGCTTCTCCACCATGGTATCATATGCTGCATACACGGCTTGTATGATGGCCGGACTGTCGAACGTAGCGGTCCCATCCAAATGCGTCCGCATAGCACGTGTACCATAATGTCGAGCACATTGAATACCAAATTCCATACGTCGTTGTACATCAGTCACATCTGTCCAGTTGTACCGTTCACCCGATAATTCCACTTGACAGGCTTCATTCATTGATCCTGTCATGTTGCGACAACGAGGAACGACTTGAGTCTTGACCAGATGCGTATGCGCATCCACAAAACACGGTACGAAGACGCAACCGTGGGCTTGCACAAGTTTACTCTTGGGCGTTGTCGCGAGTAGATCATCATCATCCTGTCCCGAAGCAGCAAGTACGGTTGCGATCTTCCCGTGCTCAATCAACACATGACAAGCCACCAGTCCTTCGTCTGTAGCTTTGGCCGTATCTCGGAGATCTGTTGGTAGATTGGAAATGGGGATAGAAACATGATGCAGCCAATACGATGTGTTCGAGCTAGAGCCAATCCAGCAATGCCACCACGAAGACTGGTCTATCAGTCGACTCAACTTCTCCAAATCAAGGCGGTGGTGTTTTGTTCCTTAGGGTTTAGGGTTCAGGGTTTAGGGGTTAGGGTTTAGGGTATAGGGGTTAGGGTTTGCCCAAGCAACCTGATGCAAAGGGGTGCCCTTAAGTTGGCCTAATGGAGTTATATAAGGGAACCTGCTCCCCTTATAAAGGGAAGCTTAGAAGCCCTAAACCCTAACCCTAAACCCTGCAAGAATAGGTTACTACTGCCCCAAACCCTAAACCCTAAACCCTAAACCCTAAACCCTAAACCCTAAACCCTAAACCCTAAACCCTAAACCCTAAACCCTAAACTCTAAACCCCTAAACCCTAAACCCTAAACCCCAGAAAAGGGAATAAGGGCACCACTGCGCATCCCGGGTTCTCTGATTCTTCTTCTTCTTCCGGAGAACCGCGGCGAGGCCACTGCCAAGCAAGGCAGCGGCAGCAAGAGACCAAGCCACCGACCACGACGACGGAGGTTTGGAAAATGTCGCTGACATGCTTGGAGGAAGGAAAGAGGAAGAAACCCTAACCCCTAAACCCATCATAGAGTTCCCCCAACCAGGCCTCAAGAAGTAGGGAATATCTGGGGGCGATGGCCTTTTTAGCAATCCCCAGGAACGTAGTGGTAATGCACTTGTACAAGATTTCGTGCGCTTCTCCAAGCCAAGTTGCATCCTTCAACATTCCTGAGCCAGATGTTGAACGATGGGAAGGTATCCAGGCTTGGTAGACAAAGCCTAAACCCTAAGCCCTAAGCCCTAAGCCCTAAACCCTAAACCCTAAACCCTGAACCCTGAACCCTGAACCCCCTGAACTCTGAACCCAGCATGCCATGTAAAGCATAAACCCCCAAACCCTGCACTCTACTTGTGACGCTTAGCCCCAGCCTTCAATATCTATTAAGGAAACCGTAAGGGGTCTCCTTCAGCTCAAAATGGAGGGTTTAGGGTTTAGGGTTAGAGTTTAGAGGGTTCAGGGTTTAGAGGGTTTGCAGGGTTTAGGGACTTGGAGGGAACTAAGTCTGGGGTTCATTTTCTGAGTTTCCATGGGCGACCTTTCAGAGGCTCAAAAAACCCCAATCCCCCACTAGAATCCTATTAGCCCTATGTAAGCCGTTTAGGATGTAGGATGCAGGGATTAGGGTGTAGGATTTAGGGTTTAGGGAGCCCTAGAAAAGCCGCAGACACATCTAAAACATGTATCGGGGCTTTCTCAAGGTGCATTTTGGGGTCCCGAGACGAAAAACTGCCGGGTTTAAGGGCCCATGAACCCTAAACCCTGAACCCTGAACCCTAAACCCTACGGGGTCGCAGAAGGATTCGGGCCCATCAAGCCGTAAACCCCAAACCTAAGAAGTACATACTTATATAATATGTATATATATATATACATGTATAAGGGTGATACAGGGGAAAAAGATGAAGGGTCCCTTCTAGGGGTCCCTCCTTTTACCCTAAACCCTAAACCCTAAACCCTAAACCCTAAACCCTAAACCCTAAAGGATCAACCCCAGGAGCGCAGGCCTCGGTCAAGAAGCGGGTCAGGTCCGTAGGAAAGCGCGTGGATGAGGCTAGCCTTGGGCTTTAGGGGGCGGGGTTTAGGGTTTAGGGTTTAGGGTTTAGGGTTTAGGGTTTAGGGTTTAGGGTTTAGGGTTTAGGGTTTAGGGTTTAGGGTTTGGGGTTTGGGGTTTGGGGTTTAGGGTTTAGGGTTTAGGGTTTGCTGATTATAGGGCTTGGGGCATCTTAGGACCTTTGGGCTTTTTGGGGGTAGTTTGGTAGGGGATCTGACCTATGGGCCCTTAATTTGGGTCGCTTGTGAACCCTAAACCCTAAACCCTTATGTACACTATGCAGTACAGAATGCGGGCCTATACTTCGGATCACTATAATCGAGGGTAAGGAACCACCCTAAGGGCCCATGGTTCTAGTTTAGGGTTTAGGGTTTTAGTGATTACAGGGCACAGGGCTTTTTGGGCTTTGGGCTTATAGGGCATTTGAGGATTTAGGGTTTAGGGCTTATGGGGCTTTAGGATTTGTAGGGTGTAGCCCATAAGGGCTTGTGGTTTAGTTTAGGGTCTCAGGTGACCCTAAACGCTAAACCCTACAACCCGAACACCCTACACAAAACTCAAAAGCCCTAAAACCCGAAACCCCTCAGCCATAAAACCCCCAGAGCAGGAAGATGTGCAGAGGGCATTTAAGGGTTCAGGGTCTAGGGCTTTTGGCTTCAGGGCTTAGGGTGGGAGAAATTCCCGAAGCCTTAGTCCAATGACTTGGGGTTTGTGGAGCCCTTCTGTGTTGAGTTCGTGTGTAGGGTTTAGGGTTGGGGAGTCCTAGACTTTAGGGTTTCGGGCTTCCAGGGCTGCAGGGATTTCGGGTGGGTTATGGCCATAAACCCTAAACCCTAAACCCTAAACCCTAAACCCTAAACCCTAAACCCTGCACCTTTACCCCAAGCGTCCTTCTCATGTGCTGCTCGTTTTGACTTCCGACATGCTCGGGTTTAGGGCCAGTTTAGGGGTTTAGGGTTTAGGGTTTAGGGTTTAGGGTTGAGGGTTGAGGGTTTAGGGCATAGTCTCACAGACGAGGCTCCAGGGCGTAGAAAGTCCACCCGCAAGACGCGTAGAAGCTCACCTCTCTTGAGGGCAAGCCCTTTTTGTTTTTTTTTTTATTTCGGAACCTGGACGTTAGACCCTATACACTCTGTTTCAACTCTAAAGCCAAAACCTGTTTCAACCCGAAAATCCCATACCCTGGAGCCCGTCGGCTCAGGGTCCATTCAGATGATGGAACGGGATGATCCATAAGGGCCGGCGGCCTCTTTATCTGTTTCCCTTGTACCTCAATATAGCCCCTATAGATACCCTAATAAAAACTCCGAATATATGCCCCTATAAAACAGAAACCCTACTTTAAGAGACAACCCTTAACCCTAAACCCTAAGCCCTAAACCCTAAACCCATATGAAGGTATGATGGCTTAGGGCTGGAAGGAGCCCAGCTTCAGGGACTTCAGTTTAGAGTTTTCAAGTTTGCAGTTTTCGGGCGCCGCTTAGGGCTTAGGGCTGTTTAGGACTTAGGGTTTATCTACCCTAAAGGGTTTAGGGTTCAGGTGTTAGGTCTTAAGGCTGCGAAAGGATTGTGCGTGTCGCTTTGGGCGCCAATCCAGCATCCTCACCACTGCGGGGCCCGTGTGTGGCTCGCGCCGGAAATCCGGCTGGGAGCTCCCTCCCGACGTCCCTTCGCGCCAGGGGTTCCCGGCATGGGGGTCCCAGGGGCTGACGCACCCTGACGGTCACATGGACTGCCATTCCTGGCCCTCCCCCGCCGTCCCTCCTCCAAACCGTGGGGCGGCACCGCCTCCAGCCCTCCAGATGTCTAAGATTGATGTCTGAGCTTTGTGCCTCAGCAGATAACCAAACAAAGGCAAAATCGTGCATCATTGGGCACACCCCCTAACTCAACGAAGAGGGTCGTTGGGGTGCACGGATCAGCCCTAAACCCTAAACCCTACACCTTATAAGCCCTAAACCCGAAGCCCTTCCTGCTTAGGGTTTGGGAGTTGAGTTGTCTACAGGCAGCCCTTGAACCTGAAAATACAGAGGGCGCGCATTGTTTGGTTAAATGGGGTAGACAAGGACCCCCAACCCTAAACCCTAAACCCTAAACCCCCTAAACCCTAGCCCTAAACCCTAAACCCTAAACCCTAGACCCTGAACCCTGAGCCTAAACCCTGAACGAATGAAAAGATTAAACTAGGTCCTAGTAAAGGTTCGCTACTCAGCCAGAAACCCTAAACCCTAGACCGTAACCCTTAAACCCGTAACCCCAAACCTTAAACCCTGAACCCTAAACCCTAAACCCTAGCCCTAAACCCTAAACCCTAAACCCCTCAAAAGCCCTACATACCCACAAAGCCTGGGGCCCCAGGGCCCGAACCACAATCCCTGAGCCCTAGAACACCCTACATAAACCTGTAGGGTTTTAGGGTCTAGGTTCATTGTCTAGGGTTGGGGGGGCTTAGGGTTTAGGGTGCAGGGTTCAGGGTTTAGGGTTCAGGATTTAGGGTTTATAGGGTCTAGGGTGATTCCAAGGACACCTTATCGAACGCGCCTGGTAGTGCTTGTCCATTTTTGCAATCTCCTGGGTGTAGGGGGCAAGCTCTGGACACATCTCGAAGACACGACGGTCTGATGTGACACAGGAGGGCTGCATATCTGTATCTCTTTGACCAAACGAATTCCGACCCTAAAGCCACAAGGCCCAAACCCGAAAGCCAACCCTAAACCTCCTGGAAAACCCAAGCCCCCCAAGGGTTTAGGGTTTAGGGTTTAGGGTTTAGGGTTTAGGGTTTAGGGTTTAGGGTTTAGGGTTTGGGGTTTAGGGTTTAGGGTTGGAAAGTTTCATGACCAACGGAAGCTGCCCCTTCCCAGGTTTGGGATAGTGAGTTGAAGGTTTACCAAAAGGTTGGCCCCATGACGAACCCCTTTACCCAAAACTCGGAAACCCTGAACCCCCAAAACCCCAATCCCCTGAACCCAAACCCAATATACCTGAAACCCTGCGAACCCTTTCGCCTGAAACCCTAAACCCTATAAACGCTATGAGCCCTACAATCCGTATAATCCCAAGTACACCCTGCAACCCTAAACCCTGAACCCTAAACTCTAAACCCTAAACCCCGATAACCCTAAAAACCCTAGAAGCCCGAACACGATCTGAGCAGGCTCCGACATCGACGGCGAGACCAAGCCGGATTTAGGGCTAAGGCTGAAGGGTTTGGGGTTTAGGGTCTGAGAGTGTAGGGTTCAAAGGCGGGAATGCCTTTCCCTGCACATAAGAAAAAACCTTACCCGAAACAAGGACCTTGGTTTCCAGTTTAGGGTTTATGGGGCTTAGGCTGAGGGTGAAGCCCGGCCCTGAGCCAAAACCCTAAACCCCAAACCCTAACCCTATAGAGCCTAAACCCTAAACCCTAAACCCTAAACCCTAAACCCTAAACCCTAAACCCTAAACCCTAAACCCTCCACCCCGCGCCTCGTAGCGAGAGGCATAGAGCCCCAGGTAGATCAAGATTGCAATCAAGGCCTTGGGAGTCGAGCTCTTGGGGCTTAGGGTTTAGGGTTTAGGGTTTAGGGTTTAGGGTTTAGGGTTTAGGGTGAGGGAATGAGGGAAGTACTTGTATCCCGCTATATATACCCTGTAAGGAAGGGATAGTATACGGACCTCATTCCCACATTTCCTACGAAGAACCAGTATGTAAGTTAAGATGGTTGTTCTCACAGCCACGAATCCGATGCCCAAGGCTTGTTCGACTACCAACCCCCATAACCCTAAACCCTAAACCCTAAACCCTAAACCCTAAACCCTAAACCCTACAAAAGCAAAGGTTCGCTGTCAGTTTCCACCGAAACCATAAACCTTACCCCTAAACCGGCATCGGCGTCTTCTTCTGTAGGGTTTAGGGTTTAGGGTTTGGGGTTTGGGGTTTAGGGTTTAGGGTTTAAGTTCAGGGCCTAACATGTTCCCTCATTTGCTTTAGTTCAGGGCATAGGGCCTGAGGATTTTTGGGGAGTCCAACAGGCATTCCATGACCTACAGAAGTGACCTTCTTAATGTTTAGGGTTTAGGGTTTAGGGTTTAGGGTTTAGGGTTTAGGGTTTAGGGTCCCTAAGCTTTCAAAACCCGGGCTTTTGGTTGAGGGTTGAAGGTTTCGGGCCTCCTCCCCGAAAGCCGAAAGCCTAAAACAACCTCGCGTGAACTCTAAACCCTAAACTCCAACTCCTTGACCCCAAAACCCCAAAACCGTAAAAACCCTATAACCCTAGCCTAAAACCCTAACCCTGAAAACCCTCAAGCCGAAAAGCCCTAAAACCCCATTAACCCTAAAAACCCTAAAAACCCTAAAGCCTAAAAGCACCGAAACCCCTCAAACCCCTGAAGCCCCTAAAACCCCTATAGCCCGAAAACCCTAAACCCTGAAAGCCTTAGACCCCCCGAAACCCTAAAACCCCTGTGGCCCTATACTAGGTTGGCCCCTAAAGCCCTATGAAACATATTCCTGAAGATGATCCTCTTAAACCCAAATAAGGGAAAACATAAAATGACCCAAGGGCCTACCTAGTATATAATAAACCTTCAAACCTAAACCCCAAACAGCAGCAGCAGCAACCAAAAAACGACAAACACAAACCTGACGAAACCCTAAAGCCCCCTAAACCCCAAACCCTAAACAGCAGCAGCAGAAAAAACAGCACAACCCTAAACCCCGAAAATAAACCTAAAAGCCTATACACCCTAAACAATAAAACAACCCTGAAAAGGTCTGAATATCCCTAAAACCCTATAAGCCCAGCAAAAGACCCCAAAAACACAACAAAACAAAAACACAAGCAAGCAAGGCCTCCGAGGACGTCGGCTTCACGAGGCCAAAGAAGCGGACCATATCGAAAGCCTCTGAAACTCGACCCCACATGAGGGATTAGGGCTTAGGGTTTAGGGTTTAGGGGTTTAGGGGTTTAGAGGGGTTTAGGGGTTTAGGGTGTGAGGGTTCTAGGGTTTTGCAGCGCAGGTTTCTAGGGTGTTTGGGTTTAGGGGTTTAGGACCAGGGCTTTGTAAGGGTTAAGTGCTTGAGGACCCTAAGCCCGCTATTGAAGATGCACTTCAAAAGCGTGCACAAAAAACCTGCCCAGGTCTAGATCCATTGCGAGGGCTAGGGTTAAGGGTTTAGTGTTCAGGGTTCAGGGTTTAATGTTTAGGGCTCGGGTTTAGTTTAGCATAGGTCCCAAAGACTCCAGCCCTTTGCCGAGCGGCATAGAGACCAGTTGCCGCCGTGGCCCAGCCTGTCCTGGGTCTTAGAAATGAGTTTGGGGCTGTTGGGGGCCCTCGCTCTTGACATGAAGCTTTAGGGTTGAGCGTTTAGGGTTTAGGGTTTAGAGTGTAGGGTTTGGGGTTGAAGGTTGAGGGTTGAGGGTTTAAGGGCTTGGTAGAAGCTTGCCGAAAGGTCTTCGGGCTTAGGGATCAGCTTGGTTTTCCGCGTAAAACCACATAGACTGAAAATTCCGCACCGCAAGATTCCACAACCTTGCAAATGTGGAGTGCGTCAAGAAAGGCCCGAGATGGAAGCTAACGCACTTAAGGTTGGGAGCTTGGGATGTTGCCCCTTATACTAACAATCCTTAATAGGGATTAGAGTATCTGGGGAAGCACTCCCCCAACTATAAAACCAGGGACTGTTAGTATAAGGGGGAATATCCCCATTGGGAGCTCTTGCCCTAAACCCTAGCCTACCCTTAGAGAAACCCTAAACCCTCGAACCTATCCAGGTGGTTCTCGCTTGCAGGCGAAAGTCTGCGGATGCAACCAGGTCAGGTCCGTAAAGCCATGCTCCTGGGGCAGAGTCTTGGGGGTTTAGGGTTTAGGGTTTAGGGTTTACGGTTTACGGGTTTTGGGGGCTTAAAGGGCTCCGTGGGCTCGCAAGGCTTCTGGCGCTTGGAGGGTCTGTTGAAAGGCTTACGAGTCTAAAGGCAGGGTCCAGGCACTTTACGGGAATACTTCGTGCCCATAGTAGCATAGTGTACCCCTCAACCCTCAACCCTAAACCCTAAACCCCTCCTATCCGGAGCAACTCTCTGTGCCCAAGCCACCTCGACCTCGAGCCAACGCTGGTTGTAACCTGGGCATGATAGGGTTTATTTCGGGTTTAGGGTTTAGGGTTTAGGGTTTAGGGTTTAGGGTTTAGGGTTTAGGGTTTAGGGTTTAGGGTTTAGGGTTTAGGGTTTAGGGTTTAGGTGTAGGGTTCAGGGTTTCGGGTGTATTGTTTGAGGGAGGCTTGTAGGTTTGGGGGTTCGCAGTGGGTTGATGGGGGGATGGGGGTATTCTCTGTAGCAGACTGAAACGCAAGCATGTCGGCATATAACCAGGACCAGAATCTTAGGGTTTAGGGTTTAGGGTTTAGGGTTTAGGGTTTAGGGTTTAGGCCTAGGGCGACAGTAAGTGTTGCAGAAGGCAGCCAGCTTCCCGTGGAGCCTCCGACATTTAGGGTTTAGGGCTTGAGGGTGGGTGCTTTAGGACTTTTGGTTTGGGGTCAAAGGGGTTTAGGGTATAGGGCTTATGAGGGCGCAGGGTTTAATTGGTGGAGAATAGGCACACAACTGCAACTGCAAGCGCTCATTGATGCCTCCCCACGGCGACAGCCCGAGTGTGCCATGCGCCAGCAAGAAACTGCAGGGCACGTATGTATGCGTAGGCTGTAGGCTGCGAAATCCTTGCTTAAAAAGGCAGGACTTTGGCGAGTATTACAGACAGTCCTCAGCGCTTTTGAGCCCTCTCAGCCCGCTCCTTCTCCTTCTCCTGCTGCTTGCGCGGTGATGGGCTTCGGGGGCTTCAGCTTGCCCTGGCGCACCAGCTCCGCGCGGTGCGCCTTGGCCTCCGCCAGCGCGGCCGCCACCGCCTCGTCCTCAGAGAGGCCCTGCTTGATGTGCTTGGAGATGGGGAACGAAACCTTGTACGTCTTCCCGGCTTCTTTCCAGCTCAGCTGCCAAGCCCTGTTCCACGAAATTGCCTGCACCCCACTCGGGCGCTCCAGACCGCAGAAGCTCCTCGTAACGACCTGGCCTTCGGCTGAAGCACCGGGGGCTTCCTCGGGCACAGTGCCGAAGGCCTCGAAGGTCTCGAGGCCCTTCATGGCACAGCCTTGCTCCTGCTTGGTTAGTACAGCCTGGTATTTGGCGCCCCTCACTGTGGATCCGGTGGCTTTGGCGGTGACGAGCTTCGGGGGCTTCAGCTTGCCCTGGCGCACCAGCTCCGCGCGGTGCGCCTTGGCCTCCGCCAGCGCGGCCGCCACCGCCTCGTCCTCAGAGAGGCCCTGCTTGATGTGCTTGGAGATGGGGAACGAAACCTTGTACGTCTTCCCGGCTTCTTTCCAGCTCAGCTGCCAAGCCCTGTTCCACGAAATTGCCTGCACCCCACTCGGGCGCTCCAGACCGCAGAAGCTCCTCGTAACGACCTGGCCTTCGGCTGAAGCACCGGGGGCTTCCTCGGGCACAGTGCCGAAGGCCTCGAAGGTCTCGAGGCCCTTCATGGCACAGCCTTGCTCCTGCTTGGTTAGTACAGCCTGGTATTTGGCGCCCCTCACTGTGGATCCGGTGGCTTTGGCGGTGACGAGCTTCGGGGGCTTCAGCTTGCCCTGGCGCACCAGCTCCGCGCGGTGCGCCTTGGCCTCCGCCAGCGCGGCCGCCACCGCCTCGTCCTCAGAGAGGCCCTCCTTTAAGTGCTTGGAGATGGGGACGCTGATCCGGCGCCGCTCGCCGGCCTCATCGGCCTTTCGGAAGGAGACGCACCAGCATCCCAGCTGTCGGTGCCATGACAGCCCTTGCACCCCGGTCTGGCGCTCCAGGCCGGGGAAAGGCTTCGTCGGCTTCGTAAGCACCGCGGGCCTTCAGCTGCTGCGGGCTTGGAGCTGTTCGGAGCCGAGGCACTGGGAGGTTCCTGGCTTTCCTCGGGCACAGCGCCCAATGTCTCGAAGGTCTTGAGGCCCTTCATGGCGGAGCTCCCTGCCGTAACCCTGAGCTTGCGCATGCCATCCTCCTCGGGCAGCATGCCGTGGCCGGCCCAAGCCCAGGGCCACTTCATCGTCTCCGCTGCATGATGCTTCGCAGCTGCATCCTGCAAGTGCGGAGGTTTGGGTTCGTGCGCCCTCTCCACCTGCACTGCGCCGCTGGGGTCCTTGTAATCATTGAAGAGGGCATGGTGCGGGTTCTCGTGGAAGAAGTCGCGCAACTCGAAGAACTGCACCTTGCTGAGGCGCAGCACACACGCTTTCGCCACATTCCCCTCACGTCCTTCCCACGGCGCAGCTGCCAAGCCGAGGAAAGGGCTGGCTGGGCAGCAAGGCTTCGTGGGCAGCCACGTCTTGCCAGAGCTTTGAAATGCTAGGCATTTCTCAGCCCACTCTGGTAGTCGCGACTCAAACGACGCAGGCCTTGTGTGGTTGATACAGCACCTCTTGCTAGGAGGAACCGCGGCTCCTTCCTGCTTGACCGAGCACCCGTGCTTGGCCTCCTCCACATGCTCCCGCTTCAGGCCGGTCCTGGGCGCGAAGCGGGGTGGACTCGATAGGGTTTAGGGTTTAGGGTTTCGGGTTTAGGGTTTAGGGTTTAGGGTTTGCAAAGCTGGATGGACTTATGCCGAAAGGTTTCGGGTTCAGGGTCCATAAATGCAGTCTCAAACTGCACAAACACCACCACGTTCTGAAAGGTGTGTGTTCGGGCTTCTTTCCAAACTTGGGTTGCCCTGGGTTTAGGGTTGCAAGATTCAGAAACATGGTCCAGACAGCTATGTGTTCAAGCACGCCAAATGCTGAGCAGCGTCTGAGTTGTCCAAGCGTGGTCGCATTTCAGACTCAGCTCCTGTAGGGGTAGGGCAGAGTTTAGGGTGCACGACAAGTCGGGTTTTGGGGGTTTTGCTCTCCGTAGTTTGGGGTTTCGGGGCTCAGTGCAGTGGCCACTTCGGGTTTCGCATCTGCTTGGCCTGCTTGATCTCACGCTTCACTTCTTGCTTCACTTTGCTCTTGATCTCCTTCGCCACCTCCCCAGGACTCCGGGCATAATAAGGCTTCCATTTGCGGTTCAGGGTTTAGGGTGCAGGGTCTAGGGATGTCCTAAACCCTAAACCCTAAACCCTAAACCCTAAACCCAAAACCCTAAACCCTAAACCCCATTCTTAGGCACAGATGAAGTCTATGGCATGCTAAAGCCCTCCTCACCATCACCGCACACTCCCCTTAGAACCAAGGAACAAGTATGACACATTCCTGGGGGGACGAGAGCATAGAGCTTTTGACCCTGAACCTTAAACACCTAAATCCTAAAAAGCAAGCCTGAACTCTAAACCTACTGCTGGCAGGGGACTGCCTTCTGGAAACCTTCAAAAACGTAGGTTTAACTTAAGAGCCTAGCCGCTTGTGACCCGAAACCGCAAGCACATGCTGGCTGATCTGCTGAGAGGCCCTAAACCCTGAACCCTGAACCCTGAACCCTAAAGCCTAAACCCTAAACCCTGAACCCTAAACCCTAAACCCTAACCCTAAACCCTAAACCCGAAACCCGAAACCCTAAACCCTAAACCCTAAACCCTAAACCCTAAACCCTAAACCCTAAACCCTAAACCCTAAACCCTAACTTGTTGTAGTATACTCACTCACTCGCTCCTGGAGGAGATTGCGCCGGCGCTCGCGCTGTGGCTTGGCAAGCTTGACCGTGAGCAGCGTCACCTTAGGACTGCTCCACCCTTTGTTTAGGGTTAGGGTTTAGGGTTTTGGGTTTAGGGTTTAGGCTTTAGGGTTTAGGGTTGAAAGGGTGTGTCGGGTTCAGGGATTCGTGATTAGGGGCTTTCGGATATTTAGGGTTTAGGGCCTTAGGGTCGTAGGCGCTTGAGGGTTTTAGGGTACCACAGGGCCCTATATAAACTCCTAACCCTAAACCCTAAACCGTAAGCAGGAAGCTGCCAGGAACAACCGGAGCCTACGATTTAGGGTTTTGAGGTTTGGGGCCTTGAAAGTGGCCCAGGGGCCCTGGTGAGGTGTTTGGGGTCCAGGGCTTTGGGTTTAGGACTGTGGTGGGATAGGGGTTACGTAGGCTTCTGAAGCACCAAGGAAGCCTCGGGGTGGGCTTCAGGCATATCTTTCGACCATGCAAACCCTAAACCCTAAACCCTAAACCCTAAACCCTAAACCCTAAACCCCTAAACCCTAAACCCTCACACGGCAAGAACAATTCACAAACTGCCAGCTTTTCCCTTCGATTGCACCTGCTTGTAGGGCTTATGCTGGGTTTTATGAGGTTTATAGGCTTTGTATAGGCTTGGTGTAGGGTTTATATAGGATTTCTTGGGGTTCATATTAGGATTTATACAGAGTTTATATAGGGTTTATAAAGGATTTATAGGCTTTGATGCAAAAGATGACCGAGTCGCATCGGACGGCGCCGTGGACGACATCTCTTGCAGCTGGGCAAAAATCCGGGCCGCTGAATGGCTGCGAGATTTGTCCATGCACTGTAAGCCCGAAACCCTAAACCCTAAACCCTAAACCCGAAACCCTAAACCCTAAACCCTAAAAACCCTACATGCACCTTAGCAATAATCGTCCGAGGGTTGTCATTGAAACTATGGGCTGCCCAGGGTACCTTTGCACGGGGTTCCTATGATAAGGGTTCTAGCGCTTTGGGGGTTTTGGGCTTAGGGCTAGGGTCTAGGCTTTAGGGTGTGGGGTTGTTGGGCTTACGGTTTGCACTTTTAGAGTTTGGGGTTTAGGGTGAGGGGTTTAGGGTTTAGGGCTTGGGGGTAAGATTTACCCTAAACCCTAAACCCTAAACCCTAAACCCTAAACCCTAAACCCTAAACCCTAAACCCTAAACCCTAAACCCTAAACCCTAAACCCTAAACCCTAAACCCTAAACCCTAAACCTCTCTTTCTATATATATATGTATATATATATATAAACCCTAATGGGTTTCGTGGGAAAAGGCACAAAAACTCGTGGGCAAGGCACAAAACTTCGTGGGCAGGGCACAAAAATTCGTGGGCAAGGCACAAAAATTTGTGGGCAAGGCACGTTTCCGGGTTCTGGGCCCGTGGGCAAGGCTTAAAACCCCAAAATGTGCCTTGCCCACGAGTTTTTTTTGCCTTGCCCACGAATTTTTGTGGTCTTTGCCCACGAAATTTTGTGCCTTGCCCACGAAGTTTCGGGCACACAAATTGTAGCAAGGCACAAAAACTCGTGGGCAAGGCACCAAAATTCGCAAGACACCGAAATTCGTGGACAAAAATTCGTGGGCAAGGCACGTCCCCCCCACCCGCGACTAGTCCCTACTACAACCGGAACCTCGGTACCACAACCAGAAGCCCTGTACTGCAACTGGGCCTGGATTTGTGCAAAGCCCGAAACCACCATATCACAACCAGCCAGCAAGCTTAAGTTTTGCATGGTTTGCAATCTGATGGTGCACCTTTAAGGAAACACATTCATTTTTAGAAACAATAAGTTGCAGTAGGTACCGTTCTTCGCCCGGATGCTACGATCTACTAAATTTTCATGATGAGCCAACTAAAAACTAACACTGAAGGGGTTCTATGTTCTTGAAGGTTTGACTTCAAGCAGTAGACCAAACGCTGTACTACCCCGAAAGCTTCAAACTTGTAAAACCCGACAGTTTATTACCCCAAAGGCTTCAAACCGGCAAATCCCGAAAGTTTAACAGTAAAACCCAACAGTGTACTACCCCAAAGGCTTGAAACGTGTGCAAAACCCTAAAGTTTTAATACTCGGAATGCTTCGAACCTGTAATTCCTGAGTGTTGACTAACCTGAAAGCTTCAAACCTGTGATTCCCACATTTAATGCTTCAAGGGCTTTGTCAGCTCCGTAAAGCTTTTACGGATGCCTTAAAAGATCTCGTAGAACCTGTATGGATGCCTCAAACGATCTCGTAGAACATGTAAGGACGCCCCAAAAACCTCCTAGGAATTGCACGGATGCCCTAGAAGACCCTGCTAATCATTCGACAATGCTACACAAGGCTCTAGCAGACCCCATTATAATGTAAGCTTGCGCGCGATAATCATCATAATAGTATAATGACAAGGGGGAAAAAGCCCAAGTTTCACCTTAAATTCGTGCGTCTCTTCGTTCCTTACAACTTAGTATGCAAAATCAATGAGCTTTTTACGACCGCTGTTAATGAGTCTTTCCTGGTTTTTTGGAACACGTTCATCACACCCTTGGATGCACAATCTAAATACACTCTTATAATAGCATAACTTAATGCATGACTTCGTGAATGATTCTCTTCGCTTTGTTGTTCATCCCTTATTCTCGTGTCCCGCGAAGAGAATTCACGTGCATCATCTGTTTCGTTCAATCGCTTGTTTAATTCGTGCAATAAAAGAAGAATAAAGAAGAAGAAGGAGAAAAGCAACAGCAAAACACGGCGAATACAATTTTAACACAAACTCTGCGCAGCACAGTGTAGCATGCTAAAGTGAAATCATTGCGCCATAGCTCACCTCGTGCTCGTCAGAGTCGACAATCAAGGGCTCCGACCTCGATATCCAAGCATCAAGCCAAGCACCCAGCACAGCACAAAAGCTGAAACCTTCAGTCTATGACAGGCGCCCCACGCCCGGAGGCCAGAAAAAACATCCTGCCGAAACGTCCTCAGTTCACTGCAAGACCTAGTGCCGAAACAAAGTCAACACCAAAAGAGACTACGTAAGCAGAACAAGCCCAAGCCGCAGATTCAGCTCAACACGTAGCACGTCAAACCATTAGTTCAAAGTGACAATAAGAGCAATATGGCCCTGGCGTGTTGCCAAATTTCGTGTGATGAAGCCTGTCCATCTCCTGACGACAAACACTTGGCTCAGATGTTATTCTAACAGTGTTGAGCAAAGCGACATGCACATTACAAGAAACAAACAACTAAGACAAGAACTCTTCGCGATAGGAAAAAGGCTGCGCGAGTGGAAATCACCTGCGGAAAACACGCGCAATTGACCATTCCAACCGATCTCCCTCGTCCAAGAGCACAAAGCCTGGCGATTCGGCTGTCCACCGCGCACCTCTGCCAATGACAGAAGTGGAGCCAGCTGCTATATAAGTGGAATGCCATCCTGCTGTCTCCACCAAGTCTCCGACAAGGCCGCGCGTGCCGTAAGAGGCCGCTTCCACTGAATTGTAATCAACGTGAGCACACTTACTCAAAGCAGCTAATTGACGCAGCCTCCGGAACTGGTCTCGCGATCCCTGCCCGCAGCAAAGCATTACGTCACAAGAAGCAGTAAAGTCTGAACGACAGCATCGGACGGCCACAAAACTAGCCTTGGCGTGCATTGCGACGCATGAAGCGAGCCTCGCTGCAGCAACGCATGAACACTCATCCACCACAAACGCTGCAGGTACAGGACCATCACGTGAGATAAATCTCTGATGTATTTCAACTCCAACACTGAAAAATAAGCGCTAGACATCTGCACGAGTCCTCTCCGACGAAACCTGGGACCGTCACTGCCACACTGCCACACTGCAGTGCAGGATCAACCACATGAAGAGCAGGAGGCCGAGCAACAGAAAAAAGACAGCAACCAAGGCAAGCGCGTGTGGCGCTCAAAACCAATCCTAATTCTGCATGGCACCGCAATCCAAAACGTTGACAAAGTTGTGTCCGAGCCAGTCGCTGGCGTCGTAGGAACTGCCTCCGTCAAAAGTAACAACAAGATCGGAGCTGCATCGCTACATCTGCGAACTGGCCAGAGCTGCAGACAAATGCCAACGCCTCCCGTCGTGTGATGACGGCTCCACCAACTTTTCTCAGAGTTTCCACGAACGCAAATGAATCTGCAACGAGCAATGCACACGAGCACAGTTGCCCGCGGAGGAGCCGTGACCTCTGATCAAGAGACACTCGCAATAAGCGACCCTTCCATGAATTTCCATGTTCTATTTACGACACGCATATACCAAAAACCAAGCTGTTTCCTCAGATGACTACACGCGGTCGTTTTCCCGGTCGCCTCCACCTAGAATGCTCAAGCAGTTCATGCGCTAAATATCTGTGACGCTCCAGCTCTTTCTTCCGGACATCACCTCCGACTACTTCAAACGCATCTGAGACCAGCACCGATCATACCGGCGAGGATTGAGCTTCTCCCGAACTTCCGGAAACTTAGAGCATGCAAAGTAGGAAAATAAACACGAGGCCATGTAAGAAACACGCGCGAGACAGCTGCAAGCTCACGCCACTTCTTCGCCACCTAACCAGCCAAGAAACACACCAAGCGCAAGTCAACAGGCACAGCAAGCGCACAGACAAGAAAGGCAGCCGGCAATCCACATCCGAGTGCCATGCATGGAACCCCAGACTCGGCTCGACTAAAGCTACGGAATACTGCTCACACAACCCTATACTAAACAAGGAAGAATGTTCCAGTTGCAATAGGGACCCTTTTTGTGCATGTAGCTGCTCAGTTTTTGTAGGGTCCAGTTTCTGGTTGCAGTATAGGGCTTCTGGTTGTGGTATCGCGGTTCCGGTTGTCGTAGGGACTCTTTCCCCCCCCACCCCCCACCCCCCTTACCCCCCCCCACCCCCCCCCCCCCCCCCCACCCCCCCACCCCCCCCCCCCACCCACCCCCCCCACCCCCCTTGTAATGCTCATCTTTGTGTGACGCCATGCGGATTTTTAAGAACGAATTGGTTCTGTAGCCGTAGTCTTCGTTGAAAAGAACTTTTGTATGAAGATACTTTATATGGTTTCTTAATGTTATGGGATTCTCTGGGTGGGTGGGTGTTATATCCAAGCCGTAAAGATAACACTACAATAAAATTGCTCGATCCGGAGCTGCTGAACCCTAAACCTTAAACCCTAAACCAATTAGGCCACGCCGCTGGCATCGAGCTGGCGAAGGCCCCCCGAGGCAACGGCCACCTGCCCCAGATTGCGCCAGCAAAGGGCTCAGGAGTGTAGGGTTTAGGTTTAGGGTTTAGGGTTTAGGGTTTAGGGTTTAGGGTTTAGGGTTTAGGGTTTAGGGTTTAGGGTTTAGGGTTTAGGGTTTAGGGTTAGGGTTTAGGGTTTAGGAGCTTAGGCCTTAGGGCGTAGGATACCCCAACACCAGACCCTAAACCCTGAACCATCGCTCGAGGGGGCTGTGGACTCTTAAGGGTTTGAGGCTTTAGAGGGTCCAGCAGCTTTGGGCTACAGGCTTAGAGGTTTAGGGTTTCGGGTTAGGGTTTAGGGTTACGGGTTTAGGGTTTGGGTTTTTAGGGCCCAGGCGTTTCGGCTTTACCACTATAGCCTTTCGAAGGGTTCTCCCTGAACCCCAAGCGCGCCCTAAACCCCAAACACTTGGTTGTGGGCTCAACACTCAACTACCTAACTCTACACCCTGACTTAAACGCTTTCAAGCTGCCCTAAACCCTAAACCATGAACCCTACACCCTAAACCCTAAACCCGAAACCCTAAACCCTGAAACCCTGAGTAGAAGATGCGAAAGAAGGGCTTAACTAGACTTCGCAGCGCAAGGTGCTTCTAGGGTTTAGGGCCTGGGGTCTAGGGAAACCTAGAAGTTTAGGGCTTAGGGCGTAGGGTCTGGGGTTAGTTTAGGTAGGCTTAGAGTTTGGGGTGTAGGGCTAAGGGCAATCTAAACGCGTACACCTCTATGAAATCGAAAAGCATTCAAGCCCGCAGTGTAACCCTGAGTCCTGAATCCCTAAAATCCCTAAGCCTGAAACCGCGTGGAGGGTAGCCTACACGGCGACCACATCAAGCATCGCTAAAGCTCAACGAGTTAAATATGAGCTATAAGAAGATAGTCACAAGGGTTTAGGGTTTAGGGTTTAGGGTTTAGGGTTTACAACGGCTAGACGCAGCCTGACGGCTGAAGTGTATTTGCCTGCTAAACAGGTTGGTCTCAGCTGGACCTGACCATTTCAGTCATTGCCGTTTAGAGTTTTAGGGTGTAGCCCCCACGCCCCCTCCCCACCCCACCAAAACAAAAGAAAACGCACACGCGCGCACACACAGACACACAACCCTAAACTCCGTGATGATCTCAGCCTTCCAACCCCAAGTTCCCAAACTAGAGCTATAGGATGTTGGGCTTTAGCCCTTCACCCAGAACAAAAACCTGCAAGCTTCTAACCCTAAACCTAAACCCCAAACCCTAAACCCTAAACCCTACACCCCAAACCCTAAACCCTAAACCCTAAACGCCTAAACCCTAAAACCCTAAACCCTAAACGCCAAAACCCTAAACCTGGGCATGGGAGTTTTTTTTCCCGGGGCGTCTCGGGCTGCGACTGGTATCATGCGATAGCGACAGCCACGGAGAGACGACTCCGAACCCCTGCGCGCGTTTAGGGTGTAAGGCTTAGGGCTTAGGGCTTAGGGCTTAGGGCT